GTGTTTTCATTCAGTCTGGCTACATCTCCAAAGCTCAAAATGCTCTGTTTAAACTTGTGATGTCATTTAGTGATACTTTCCAAGTTAACATCTATCTTTTATCTAGAGACTGGCAGATTCCAAGGCTGAAATCATCCAAATGATTCTAGTGAAGGTGTATGGAGTTTTAAAACACAGTGGAGCACTTCCTATATTACCACAAAGTGTTTTCTGTTCGAGAAAAGAACTCAGCCTAAATATGTAGGATTTGTGAATTAAATATGTTAATGAAACAAAGCACAACTCTAGGTGTGTCTGTGATGAGGAAACACCATTATAACACAGAAAACAGTGTGATATGGCCCCTTTAAGAACTGTTTTTACTACTAGTTCTCGAACTTTTCACACCAAGTACCACCTATGATCATTTTTGGCTTCCTGACAGATCTAAACCTGAACTTTATCAGGCCTAAATTTGGACTAAACCAGTCTAAAATGAGACTAAACCATGATTAAGCTGGTTCTAAATAATGAATAACCCATGAATATATCTGTCTCTAAATAAAACTGCAGAGGGTCCTGTGTACCACCAGTGTTACACATATCACACTCTGAGAAACACTGATCAATTGCATTATTTAGCATCCAGACCAAACACACACAAACTTGTCCAAGAGGAAAATTTGTGGTACTCCAATGGACTCAACAGTACACAAGTCTATTCATTATTTGGGCCCCTGTTTAGTTCAGCAACTACGTTTGGGTCTAAGGTGCAACATCCAAGTTTTTTTTAACCATTTAATAATAATAACAAAACATAAGACTTACATAGCAGTTTTTGAACACATTTTAAAAATCAAGTTTTAAACGTCAAGTTTTTAAAAATGATTTGAAGTACTGCAATGAGTCCAAGTTCGAATTCCCACTGATAACATGCACACTTACGAGCACAATGTTTATGAAAGTGCTATCTGGTAGAGACCATTACCTAGCTCGAAGCAAAAACATAGATGTAAAAGTCAGATCATGATTTCGATTTGATCACGATTCATGTACAATTGACAGATTTATAAAGCCTAGGGGTAACTAAAGTCTTCTGCTTCCGAGCATTGCTGAACCTGACCAATAGGAGATGTGGGTGGTAAAACAAATATCTTTGTTTGAGCTAAGAAAATAAGCAATAAGTACTGTTATAGTCCCTGGTCTTCAGTTTTGACTTTTGCCATATTTTGTCTCCTTCATGCAACCCTGGCTGTGTGAGATCTTTTGTTAGATTGGTGGATTACTCTCTTGTCTGTTTCTGGTAGGCCTACATGATCCATTTTCTGAGACATCAACAGTCATTCATCTTCATCATATTTTAGACCTGTTAGTTTGGTTTTGGTTTAGGTTATTTTGTTTATACATTTGTGTATATATTTTAGATCACTGTTGCCATTTTATTATTTTTCCATCTTGGTTTTTGTTACCTCCCTGACTCTAGCAAAGCTGGGTTGTATTTACCAGAATAGTACATAGTTATTAGCCAGGCTGGCACCATCTAATGTCTTCGCTCAATTTCATTTCTCAGGTCAAGAATCGGAATACACTAGACAGTTCGCAAAAACCCCGGAAGTGCAAGTTCAGGCACCAGCCAATCAGTTAAGAGCCATACATTGTTGTGTTGGTAACGATTCCAACAAGATCGAGGATTTAAAGCCGGAACAAAGAGAATGTTTGGTGAATTTTATCAAGGGGAAAGAAGTTATTGCCCTTCTTCTAATGGGATTTGGGAAAAGCTCAATATACCAGTTAGCCCCATTATCGGAGCATTACGTCATGACCAAATAGCAGCAATTGGTTAAATGAAAAAAAGTACCCCCCTTCTGTCGAGCGCACAAATCCTAATGCTGCGAGGTCAGATGAAGTGAAACCAGCTGATGAATCAGGCTAGATGGGCACAAGGATGAGATCACAATCTGATTTTTATCACCATATTGCCCAGCCCTACCTGTAAGTCATTTATGTTGCAGGGTATGATCTAACAGACTTGCACACAGAATGGAGCACACCCAATGAGCATGTAAAGTGAACATCACAACTGCAGCCTATGAAAGAGATTTTTTTAAACCAACTATATGAATGTTTGTGTTTTTTCAAGCTTACACTTATTCTTCCTGATTAGTCTTAATGATCATAAACACCTCTCAGATACATCACCTGCTTAGAGCACTTATTGTATCCCGGTGGAGTTATGTAATACTCTGAATGTCCTTGTGCATTATTCACACAGTTGTAAGCTATTTACTATGACTCATTGCTTTTACTGTCTTTGGTTTTTATGTAGCAAACCTGGAATATCCTTTTGAACATGTCAGACAGGCCTATTCTCTTTCAATGCTAATTTTATTATGATTATTTATGTTTTGATTTGTTTATATTTTGATTTTAAAGGTGTATTGTGTAACTTCTTCTGCTTGTTTCGATGGATATGTCATTGCTCTGCCTGGAATGTTCCACAGTAAGACATTAAATGGCTCTACCTTACATGGATTCAATTACAGATGCTTTAATAGCTCAGAAATATCTAGAAAAACAGGCATTTGGGTGGTGAGCGGGGTCGCCTCTCCACAGATCTAACCTACAGCTTGGTCTGGTTTGGTCTCTGTGAAGATAGAAAGATTTTACTGTGAAACAAATCAGACAAAACGGACTCCCCACCAGAAAATTTACAAAATGCACCTTTACTGTTTTTCTGATTCTGTAATGTACTTTGAATTGTGTATGAATTGTGCTATATGAATAAACTTGTCATGTCTTGCCTTTTTATGCTACGGAGCTCCACTTTTGTTTGATATCTGCTTTCTCTTCCCATCTGAAGCCACCCCCTCCCAGTATTTGCTCACTTCTTGATATCTTAAACTGATGAAGCGATCCCCCAAAACACCTTACTATCTCGCAGAATGAAAAATGAGTATATTAGCGAGCAGAGTGGAGTGCTTTAATTCCATCTGCTTGGTGCATGTGTGCGGACTCAGCTGAACTGCGGTAATGACTGAAGGAGCTGTCCGGTGCTGAAACCATTCACTCTATTGTACTGCGCATGGGCTCTGCTGTGTCAGTGGTGGTATTAATCTGAATGTGTCCATAGAAGTCCGAGCTTGTTTACGCTCAAATACATAGGCTTTCTCTTGGGTTAATCACATTACAGTCACTATTATCAGAATAAAAGGCTGCATGAGGCTCCCATGAAGAATTACTTACTCAGTACTCCTTTATACAGATTAAATGAAATTAGTTTTTTTCATGGCCGATACGATACTTATTTAGATATTTAGCATCCAGCTTTGCCGATATTCTTTGCCCAATTTTGATTTTTTTACTCAAATTATGTATTTAAAAGTTACTACAAACTCAACCACAGCATTTTTTTAACTACAAACTCATAAGAGAGCTGTGTAGTCACTTTTGGGCAGTTATTTATTGGCACTAAAGTGTAAAATAAAGCGTAAAAGTCCAAATATTGGCTTGATATATCGGTCTATCTTTACTCTATTACTATTCTTTACCAAATTTTACCTATAGGGAAAGGCAAAACTGATAACCAATAAGAGGGTAGTCACAGTGATTCACAATGATGTCAAATTTAACCAAGAATAACTAGCTACAGTGTGAAAGAATAATGGGACTTTAGGGCTGGGCTGGAGCCAAATACAGCTGAATGAACCAAATCATCATGGAAATAGCAGACCTAAAGTGAATGTTAAAGGCAGGCTACAGTCAAAGCCTTGTAAAATGCACCTGAATGACTCACTATATTGAGCACCGGTACTCTTTTCAAATATGTTTCTATGTTCAGCTCTCTGTGGGAAAAGTTTGACCCCTGTTTTAAGGGAAAAAATAACCACCTTGGGAATTAAAGGCAGAGGCTCCATTAAACACCAGTATGTTCATATATTTTTGTATTCATTCATTCTATTTCTAATAGTTATGAGGCATATGCAACAACGCTGATAGCTATTTGCGGTATGATATATAGGTATTCTTGTAGCAGATAAAATAGCCATTGTCTTCTAGAGTCAGTTTTATGACAGGTAAAGAGGTTTTGGATTGGGTAAATTGCACATTGGTCTTCTTTATAAAGCAATATAAAGCTTTCTCTTTTTAGACATTTTAGTTTCAGTTTGGGTCCACTAGGTTTGTGTGGGTTATAAATGTTATAGAGTATCGAAATATCAGTAGATCTTATCGTTTAATTTGATGATACAGTATCAATACCGTGTGCTGCTGTATATATATGTATATCACCAAGAGTATTTTTTGGTATATTTTACAAAATTATTTTGTTACAGCACTACAGTTTTGTTTCTTGTTTAGTGGAAATAAACTAGAAAGACATATTCACTGTTTTGATGATTAAAACGTTTGTGTTTCATATTCACTTTGCACAAGAAGTGGTTTAACAAAGACTTTTAGTGTCACAGCCATGATTTAGCCTTTATTTTTTATCGAACCGTATCAAATCGATTTGAAATATATCGTATTGAATCAGAAGCTCACTGTATCAAGATATGTATCATATCGTGACCTATGTATTGAGATATGTATCATTTCGTGACCTATGTATCGAGGTATGTATCGTATCGACTACTTCTTAATGATACCCAGCCCTACTTGATAATAGAAAATCTTGTCACGTGAAGACATATTTTCATATTTTAGGCGTTTCCACTTTAAAAAACTCTTCTCTTCTTCTGTCAAGTTATCACGCCATTTAGTTCGCGAGCATCATCCCCCCGCATAGACAGCTGTGTCATGAGTTGGTGGGAGCAGATGAGGTGGCTGTGCGGACTGGAGTAGTGTTCTGCGGGCGGGGTGCACCTATCCCAGCCTCCATCAGATACAGCAGTCTGGCAGCATGACAACTTAACCCCTACAGCGCCATGCGACCTGACCGAATACACCGCCAAAATGAGACCTCAAACATCCCATTCATAAAACAGACAGCTGACAATCATAAAGCAGACTGGAGTAAAACTTACACATAAGCGTGGTAGATGAACGCCCAGCCCCGCGGTCTCTCCAGCGCGTTATACAGGAAATTCTGGAGTTTGCGATAGCTGGCATTCTTTTTGGATGGTCGGGGTCTTCCTCCGGAGATGCTAGCCCGTGGTCTGCTGAGGATACTGGTCCGTTTGGTGCTGTCTGTAGCCGCAATGAGCAGCGCCCCGTCCCGACTCGATTCTGGAGCCGAGGGGTCCAGACCCACAAAACCAACCTGCTTCTTCTCTCCGGCCGGGGCTGGGTACACCCCGCCGTTGAGAGCCTTCTTCACCATGCTGCAGCGGGGTTCAAGTCCGTGCCTTCGCCGCGGGGATGCATCACCACCAGCCGCTGGAGCAGGGGTGTGAGCTGGGTGTGTGTCAGAGCTGGTCCCGCCACAAAATCAGTGCAGTCCCCGAGAGAAAGTATCTGCACCGCGCACGCTGCCTCCCGCCCGGCTCCTTCTTCCGGCCACTTTACGCACAGCGGGGAGGGAGGGCAGCTTCGGGATTTTCACTGAAGTTCATCTGTAAATGGCATCAGCTCAAATGCCTCCTCTGCTCTAACTGATGTGGATTGCTCCAGAGCTGGGGGAATGTGCTGATGCCAGGGGTGGAACTACAGAGAACGTGCACAGAGCAAGCACAAATAAATGAAAGGTTTGAGGAGGAACGGTGTAAAATGCTTTAACACCAGTGCTACTTATGGAAATAATATAATAACAATTAAAAAACCTAAATGTTTGCAGAATAGGACTTATCAGTATATGCTTTATTAAGGTTTATTCTGTGTTGACATTCACAGGACCAAGATCCCATTGGTCATAAAGAACTTGATATTCAGTCAGACAGTGACACACAGAGTACATACTTTCCTCATAAAGAGAAGCCTCAGACTTAATCCAAGTCTGCAGAAGCTCAGGGAGCTGCCCTGAGAGAGACTGCTCTAAACTCATACAATATTCAGATGTGATGCTTTCTACACACTGGAACAAGCTGCTCACCGTGTCAGGGTTTATGCTGTATTAAAACTGAAAGGACTACAAATATGTAAGATGAAAATAAAATATCAAATAGCTCTGCCTCTCATTTAATATGAAAGACTGGATCATACATATGCTGCTACTAAAGGGCTGTGTCCAGACCTTCCTTGATTCCTTGGGGACATCTTTATCTTTAATGTAAGACATAAGTGGACAGAGCTCCTGCTGTAGAGCCGCAGACTCACATAACAAAACACTGCTCATGTGAACATTTTATTACTATATTGTTAAGATGCATTTACAATGATCATTTTAGAAAGATTCAACAAAGTTTCTTTGTACAGTTATTTTCAGGCAAAATAAAATTGCAAATAAAGTATTTACAATAATCCAACATTAGAATCATGTCAATACAAACATAATCAGAGACTGTTGGTGCATGCTGCAGTCATTAGCCCTGCCCAGGACCTCTCATATTAAGAGCTTTTGAGGAGAGATGAGGTGACTGGCTGTGCTTTTGTGCACCAGTTTGAGAACTACATGCTGAGAAATAAATTAAAAGGACTGAGTATCTAATGGGTGCAGCATGTCAACTGAAGTCCAAAACTGAACATTTGTAAGTTAAGTTATGTTCATTTGAGAAAACAGCTGCTCAGTCACCAATACAAAAACAGTTTAATATACTCAATATAATCTGCATAAAAATAATCCAGTTTAAGTTATAGCATTGTAAGACAGTTTTGCGCTTCTATTTACAAGAAATTAAAATCTTCAGTAAAATGAAACTCTGTCCCTTTCTTTACAACATCCTATGTATTACAGTACTTTTTTCTAACACTGATTTGATCAGATCAATCCTTGTACTCATTAAGACTTTGAGTAAACGGACAGTTTCATGGGAGACCAGGTGATTACATATTCATAGCTAGATTTCATCAAACTCTTCCAACATGCAATTGGAATATAGCTATAGGCATACATCATTATTCCTGGTAATATGAAATAAAAGACAATTTTAAAAATGCCAGTTACTAGAAGGAAATCCTTCAGCTAGTTAAACTAATATATTACTTTGTCACTAGGCCAATAAATTACATTATACAACATGCTTAGTTAATCTTATTTTGATTAGCTTCAATCCTTGTAAATCTATGAAACTTCTGAATAATGGTACTGTATATTGAAATAACAAAAATAGATTGAATGCTATTTTAATTAAAAGTAAAATTTAAAAAAAAGACTTGCAGCACAGATACTCCAATATTACTGTGGCAATGTACTGTGAATACAATCAAATTTCATTGAGTTTGAAAATGTGAAATGTTAATGATTACTTCAAAGACCATGGTCACTTAAGCTTATTAAAATATTTCATAAAATAGGAAAAAATCCAATTTTGTATTTTCTTAAATTCTTGCTTCTAAATGGTAAGTGGGGAACCCCTCCTTTATCAGAATCGTTTTTTTTTTTTTTAAACAAAAATCAATCCAGAAACTACACTGACTCCCATGATGAATGTAACACCTCCACATCCTCAAAATAAGACATAAATAATTAGAAATACACAGGCAGCATGCCATTGGTCCTTTAAATACTGTTCAATACGTCGGCTGGAATGCTTTAGATCCTTTAGATACCTGAAATAGTATACGTGAGAGGCAACTGGCTCCTTCCCAGTATAATAAATAACTATCCTTCATATATAGTGCAGTAATACAGTACTGACACAAACCTACAGTAATTGCACAGTCAGCACATGCAACAGGCCGCCCCCCAGCCCTCTACCATCTATCACTCCATCACTCAGTCTCCCACCCCTCTTTCCTTCCCTACGTTCTGTCCTCTTTCTAAATCTATTACATTACAACACATACATGAATACAAGGGCATTCAAGTAGTCAGAAGGTCCTAACACGGAGCCCTGATGAACACCAAGTCCATCTTAGAGAAATGAGACCCTTTTAAAACTTTGCAGTCCAAGGCGAAGTGAAGATCTGGATTCAGGATTAGCGCACAGGTAGTTAATCCAGCTAGAATTCAACACACATCTTCTGCTTAAAACTGGCACATGTATCTTCTTTGTGTAGTTAAATCCAGTGGAGGTAATAATGATGAAAATGCTTGCTTGATATTAACCCAAATATCTAGTGGTTTCATGCTGGAAAGGTCCCTGTGCATGTGGGGGTTGGCAGTGTCTCTTGATAAAAAAAAAAGCTGAATTCTTGTTTCAGTCTCTTTCTTCTGAATCCTTAAAGTTCTCCATCAGATGGTGGTAAACATAGCTTGAAGAGCCTGTGGACACGGAGAAGATCCAATAAACAGATGGTAACATAATAAGGAACTAAATGGTGTGGGGCTGAAGTGGTCGGATACAGTACCTTGGAGCTGAGGGAGGCATCTGGTCCATTACCTTGAGGTTCTTAGCAGAGAGCTCCACTCTGGCTCCCTGATACACAGAACAGATATGGTTTAACTTCATTATAGCACTACTGCTCTTGATAGTACAGTACATATGGAAGTGCACACAGATAATAGCATTTAACCACACAGACCGGTCTTTTTTGTTCATTTTCTAATTTATTTATCAGCTTCTGAAAGTTTAATCGAATCAAAAAAGTCAGGATAAGAGTCCCATACATATATAATAGGGCCAAGATGTTAAAGGCCCATATTTCTGACCTATGTTATAATGTTGTTTCTTCATCACAAACAGACCTGGAGTTGTGTTTTGTTTCATTCACACATGTTTAACACAGAAATAACGCATATTTGTTTTTTTTCACACAAGAATCATTTGGATGATTTCAGCTGAGGAATTTAAAATCTCTACTGAACAAAAGGCAAAAAGTAGCTGTTAACTTAAAAACTACCACTTCATGACATCAGACATTGGAGAAGAGCATTTAGAACATGGGAGATGTAGAAAGAGTAATATAAACGATTATTGAAACATGTGTGAATGAAACAAAACACAACTACACGTATGTTTTTGAGGAGGTAACAATGTTCTAACATAATCCATTTTGCATAATATAGAACTTTTATACATCATGAATGTGACTTGGCACTGCTTACATGTTGAAATAGTCCATACTCGTTCCTGTTGTGTGACTGATGAATGAAGAATGACAAGTGTGATGTGTGAAATACCTGTTTGCGCATGATGTCCATGGTCTGCATGATGCAGCGAGGCATAAGACCGTGGTTTCTGGCTAAAATCATGGCCTGCTCCAGAGTCACGCTCAGAGTACATCTGAAAAGAACAAGCAGCAAGATTAGTGGGAGTCCTGTTACAGTGTTACATCAGCCTTCTCTCCCAACATATGACTAAATGATTAGTTTTCATAATGGCATAGTCCCAGATTGAACCCAAGTTATATCACTAAATGTCACAGCATCTCAGGTGGTACAATGATTGTTTTTTATCAACATATGCTCATGAATGAGGCGTGATTGACCCTGTCAGTGATCCCCAGGATGTGTGGGTGTACACATAACATACCATCACTTAGTCTGAGTACTGGACAGAGAGCAATATACACCAATGTTATCTCACATGTCCCCCATGAAATATTTGAAATAAAGGTTTTCAGGGGAGTAGTGCAGAAGGCAAACACTGTAGCATCATCTTAATAGTGCTGCTCCACTCACCTCTGCATGCCAGTGCCACACATGGTGATGTGGCAGGCGCCCAGGCGGTTACACAGCTCTGAGGACACAGCAAGAACACTGACACCTGATGGGTGACCCTGGGCATTGGGACGCACGTTCACATAGGACTGCATCAGACGGCACAGGTCATCGAGAGTGTTCAGGGGTCGCAGCAGCTACAGAAAAAGATGACACAGTGTTAAACTGAGGTGACAGGCAGAAGACTGCTGTGATGAAGTCTGAAGAACTGAAACTGCATGTGTTCAATTAAGTTGAACTTGTTTTGTATTAACAAACAGAGATCTTGCACAATTACTAAAAGGTTAATTCAACTGAAGACATGCTACAACATTAGAGCGTAATGAGACTAGTGTCTGAAACCACTCAATTAGAAAGTACTCATAGGTACCAGCAACAAAAGGGTGTATTTAAAAATGGTGTGGAGCAAACATCAAGTCAAAAGTGGCTTCAGACACTATCACACAGTGCATATTGTCTATATTACCTCATGGGGGCAGCAGAGAGCTTATGTTACGTTTTATATATATATATATATATATATATATATATATATATATATATATATTATTTTTTTTTTTTATATTCATATTAATCTGTTATGTACAATTAGGGATATTCTTTCATACTAATCTACAATTAAA